GGATACTCATTGTGATTGTAAGTTAACTTTTTCTGCTTTCACGTCTTTTCGTTATTTCAAATTTGCGGTATGTGTTTTAAGTATGTTAGGATTGTAATATCATATTTATATATGAGTGAAACACCATTGTGGACATACTACTTCAGATTATTATTTAAGGAAGTAGTGATTGCATAATCTTCATCTAGTATTTTAAGAAAAAGTCCGAAGTCTCTATATTCGCAAATGTAAAGGACATCACCATACGCAAAGAAGTTGTAGTCTATATCGCGGTTATAACATCTAATCTTGCCATAAAAAGGTTGCTTTTGTTTTTTTTTACTGTCATATGCAATCGTTGTGTAATGTATTTAATTATTCTTTTAACGATTTAGTGATTAAGAATTTCAATATAACGCCTAATGAAACAAGCTTAATGATCGTGGCAGAGACCGAAAATGTAAGTACTCTTTGTGTTTACAAGCGAATAGGGTTTGTTTGTAAATATATTTATATTATTTCTAAAATAAATTATCTTATAGTTAGCGTATTATAGTATAATATCTGCTTTCTTATGCCAGCAATTATATCAGTGCTGGAGAAACTGGTATGATCTGCTATTCATAAAGAATAATACTGAAGAAGATGGAATAATACATTTGTCAACTTTTCCATATACTTTACAAAATTTAACTCCATACACTTCGTACAATGTAACTATACTCTATAGAAAGAAGAAACTTTTTTCTAAGGAAATTCGTACATTCGAAGGAGGTGAGTTTAATTATATTTTCAACGTTTCGTAAGATTCGTGTGCACATAGATATTATTTCATTTTTTATAAAGACTTATCTTTTGTAAATAATATGTGTTTTGTCAATATTTGTAGTTCCATCGAAAGTGGTATCTCTTACAGCGTTATCATTGTCAAGTACGAACGTCAGCTTATTTTGGATATCACCAAAGCGAGCTAATGGAGTAATAATGGAATATGTTATACAGTTAACGGTGTGTTGAAAAAGAGTCGTTAATTATTAATTTACAAAGTGACCAATAATTAAATAATAGCAAAAATATTTATTTAGTGACTTCGTATGAATTACAATAACTTTAAGAAGGCCACAAACTAGTTTTAAATTAATTTTTGTTAACAATGTGGAATGCATTCCTCTGATCGATAATTAAAAACCAAAGTAATATGATATTCTCTATTTCTCTATTCGCGGAATTTTGGTTACAATGTCGATCATTTGTATTAGTCATTTGCAATATTTTACGCAGATGTCTTCTAATAATTACAGGTTGCGAAGTATTTTGGCTGTAAGGGCGTGAGGGTTATATCTCCTCTATCGAGTAAATATATTCTCGTAGAGGGAACAAATAAAACGGAAATTACACTTTCTGGATTACATGCATATGCAAAGTATAATGTGGAAGTTACAGCACGGAATTCACGATATTCAAGTGTGCCTGCAAAGACGGAGTTTAGCTTACCTGAAACGGGTATACTGCATTCATTGGATCTTCTAAGTATTTCGAATATCTGACTATCCGGATATCCGATGTCGGTTCCAATCTGAAAACTCAAAATCACATTATTTGGATAATTCGAATAATTCGAATAATTTTTATATAAGCCTAGATCATAAGATGTTCAGTTCCAGAGTCAAATTTAGATCCCAGATTGGATATAAAAAAAAAAACAGATAATTAAAAAGAGCGATTTAATAACAAAATTATTCGGAATAATTATTATTCAGATACGTAAATAAGCAGATTAAATCGTTAAACTGCATTGCAAATAATGATTTATTTCTTATTAAATTATCGGTAGATATCTAGATTACGTTAGTGAATGTGTCCGACTGGCTAACTAGGATTCGGATTCGATGCTTCGAATGTTCAGTTGCACGTGTTATATTGGAAAATCCAAACCCGCAGACATGACGAATTTGAAGCGTTACATTTTCCCCCTTTCCAAATAATCGGATACCCGGATGATGTCAGTTTCGTATAAATATCAACGTCTTAATCTCCATCTGTCATTGACGTCTATAATGTCATAATATATTTCGGCTAATTCTAAGTTCTCATAATAGATTAACCTGCGCAACTAATTATTTATATCTCTGCGATATTAATCGGTTTGTCATTGACTGTCAAATTCAAGTTTCTTAACTATTTATTTCGATTTTTGCTTCTCATATTTTCAAACATATGTTTAACTGTTAAACGATTTTGTTTAATTAAACCGATACCAATGGTTTATATTATCATAACATTACGTCAATAACACCTATATTTACACAAATTTATGATGAGTGTACGATAACAATTAAGATTCTCTTATAGTGATACCAGTGGTTACGTTCGGTACAGTAAAAATGGAAAATTGGGTATTATCGTGGAAGTCTCCTGAAGATTGTACAGCAATTTTGGGGCCATTATTTAGTAAAATCGAAATACGAGGAATTAGTGATGCTGTAAAAAATTTTAATGTGACCAAGAATACTAAACTCATGGAAATAACTCTAAGAAATATATTACATGGCGTTGAACATTATGTCGCAAAAATTTTTGCTTCAAGGGGATACCACAAGCCAATAAATACTTCTGCTTACATAGAATACAATTTCGAAACTCCGCCTAAAGGTAACTTTGTCTTATTTTATTTATTTATTGCTTCATATTAGTTTCAATAGTTAATAATATTTAATTTTTGACACAACAGAACCGCCTAATGTAACCAATCTAGATGTCGTAGAAGTCGAAAGTTATAAAACAATATATTTAAGATGGCAAAGTCCAATTCCTCCTCTCAACGGAGTTTTACGTGGTTATGGCATCGTTATATGTCCCTACAGAGGGCGTCGTATAGCTTCATGCAAAAAAATTGAGGTGCAATTGAATGAAACCTGCGAATTATGGGACAGTTACATATGTAAAAGTATTCTCTACACGGAAGACAAAATTGAAGTAAGGAACTATTATTCTCAATATTCCTAAAGGAATGATTATCGTACATTGCGATTATATGATATTATATGATAATAAGTTATGGCACAAATATATTTATATTTATTTGTAAAATGTAAGACATGTATTTCCAGGTTGTAGCCTATAATGATGTTAATACGTCAAATTCCGTTAATGTGACTGTGGAAATGCTTAACAATGCACGTAAGACATAGCCTTTCTTAAAAGTTAATTAGAAGTTTTGCACGAAACTATTTAATATTTATAACATTATAATTATATATTACCATAATCAGGATTGTGTAAGTTACTTTTGGTTTTCAACTGAGTAAGTCAAAAGTTAGTTTGCTATAAAATAATTGAGTTTACATTAAAAATTACTAAAATAATATACTAATTTAGTTAAAAGTTACTAACATACTAATTTAGTAACCTTACTTACTATCCATACTAGGGTTACTAACTTAGTTAAAAAGTTAAAAAAAAAGTTAGAAGTTATTTACGGGAAACTTAATTATCTAAAACTATATATGTATTTTTTTATTTCATAATTAGTCTTTAAATTTAGTTTAAATTTATGTGAAATAATGAAAATATATTAAGCAAATTGATCAATCGTAGCTAATTATTTTTTAACCGTAAAGGGAATAGTCGATTGTATTGGTCAATTTCCTCACTGCTTACGTCTTACTTAAATTTTTCTGTGTTTCACTAGTTTTTCGTCCCGATCTACAATAGATTTAGTAAGCTATAAGCTGTAAGAAATTGACTAATCACAGTCGACTTATAGAAGAACAATTATTTGTGATTGATCAATTTCTTACAGCTTAAAACTTACTATATCCATTGCCGATTGAGTCTTATGCGTCGTCTACAATGGCAGTAGGAGTAGTAGTAAGAAATAAGCAGTAAACAAATTGACTCATTCTATTCTCACGATTTAAGAATAATCAATTGTAATTGATCCATTTGCTTATTACTTATTTCTTACTATTACTTCTACTGTCATTGTAGACAACGAATTACAGTGCTGGAAGCTTTATTCTATCTTTGTTTGATAAGTAATGAACAATAAGGACAGAATGACTCTTATAGTGCAATAATCATCATGTAAGCGTAAATTGGACCACAACTACATAGTCAGATCTTTTATTAAACATTATTTCAAGTTCATTTTCAGATGTTTTGTAGCCAGTGAAACGATCCGTTCAATATCTAAAAATTTGAAACGATCATAAATATAAGATTTGAATACAAGATTTGAAATATAAGTTATAATTACTGCTCTTATATATCTATCTGTTAAAGTGGTCTATGATTTTTATATAACTTTAATATTCATGAAATACTTTAACTTAACTGAAAAAAGTAAAAATTTAAAGTTAATGCGTAAAAAAAATTAACTAATTTTAAGTTAAGTGTTAAGTTAATTAAGTTTAATTAAGTTGAGTTCAAAGTTACTAAATTTTTAACTTCTAACTTAACTTTTAACTTTTTTTAAAGTTAATACCCAACTCTGATCATAATCTATTTTAACTATATATTATCCCATTGCGGTAAACCTGACTTTGAAAGATAACTGACAAGATGTTAATCTATTTTGTTCCTTCAATTTATATTGATGCAACATAACGATTTAATAACAAATTGGGGAAAATACAACTAAGGGATATATATTTCCATAACATTATATACATGCTGTATGTACATATAACTGAGGAAATCGCTTTCAATCTTTCTAGATCGTCGTAAATCGTAGCTGGCTACTAATTCCGACTTAACGATATATCGTGTTTGAATTTCAGAGCCGGACCCACCTCGCAATTTCAATTTTGCGATCGGTAATAATAGCGTAGTCGATTTACAATGGCTTCATCCATGGAGGACGGGTCGTCATTTGCTTCAGTTTATGATCACTGTAGAAAATGTAATGTCCAATTTGACAGATCATTTATCGAGAGCAGTTCGGTCATTTAATGAGAACAGTTCGTACGAATTATCTGTAGCTGTGACTAATTATACGCCTAGCTACTGTGCGCAATTACGTTTATTGCCGTCGACGAAATACATTATTTCCATTATCTCTGTGACAACAGAGAATGTGAATAGTAATATGAGTACATTAAATTTTTCGACGCCTTCCACTGTAAATTTCAAAGGCAATATAACGTCCGAAGTGTACGATTCCGATTCCACGATCGTAGTGCATATTCCGCAAATCGTGGACGATACGCGCAATAGTATACTGTACATTATAGTTAAAGGACCGCATCGCGATTGTAATAATTATGTATCGCCACATAAGAGTTTGTGGAAGCAGGCGGGTGTGCAGATGTACGATATCTTTTGGCAAGCTGCTGCAATTTTGGTACGTGTAGACTTTCATCGTGATATATCTCTTATATTATTGCATGACTGTAATCGCTTGTCGAAACAATTGACGTCGATGTACACTTGTTTTCAAACCGGTTTAAATGTTTCTTTTTCGTCTAGAATGTAGCTGATGGTCAAAGAAAATTTGTTTTTGATAAATTTCCACAAATTATGTTCTCGCATTGGACTAAGAGCTGCGTTGTAAACAACAACAACAACAAATGTTCAAATCGTTTTGAAGATCAGCGTACACTCTAGTGCTAAAGGTTTCGCATACTTTTCATCGAATAAAATTTAAAGGATCCAAGTTGTCCCAATTGAAAGCCACTGCTGACATGCATATGCATAGTAATCAGTTATAAATATATAAATATATAAAAATTGTTTTTCTTTATTAAATGTCTTTATTAAATTATCTTAATTTAAAATAAATTCTTTCTTCCCTAACTTTTACAGATGTCACATTCTGTACTGTCACTTCGGTTCTTGAAAATCTGATTATCGTGAATACAGTGGCTTTCAATTATCACAGTTTGAAGAGTTATAACTTTACTCGATAAAGATTGCAAAAATTGTTTAGCAATTGAGTGTATACATTCGCAAGATGATTTAGACACAATCAACTTCAGAGCATAGCCGATAGTCCAAAGAGAGAACATATTTTTGAATGATTCGTTCTATTATTGGACTGTTAGTTATGCTCTGAAGTTCAAGTGTTCAAACCGTTTTGCGACCAAATGCACATTCAAATGTCTCAATGTCTGAACAATAATTCATTTGTAATATTGTTTAATCTCGCTCAGAATTAATTCGGTAATAATAATACGGAGTGAAATGTGAAAGTAGAATTGCTTCATACGCAGTCGAGTATCAAACCGCAATTGACGTGTACAAATATCCAACAAAGTTCTCAAGTATTTTTCTTTCTTTGCCTGTTCTCAATGATGACAGGCACAAAATATCTCCAATGGTATGGACTTCACGATTGGCAATGGCGACATTTACGATAATGCCATTAACTGCTATTTAGTATCTGGAGAGTTGTATGACATAACGATTATCATAAGTGAGCCGAATTTTCATTATGAGCCAATTATGATTACGAGGAAAATATCGAAACGTATCGGTGTGAAACAGAACCATCCCGAATCTTGGCTCATACCCCTTGTAATGATCATCTTCACGGCAATTGTAGCTTTCTGGTTTTTCCGAAGGTAGTATCTTTATTTGATAGAAAATCTTAGTAATGTCCATTATAATAAGATAGTTACTAAGATCTGTCGACTTGAAAATATTTCTTAATTAACGTCATTTTTTAACACCACAAATTAAATATTTCAATTAGTATCGGCTTGTTTCGACAACCCTTCGTCTCGATTTTCTGTCTTCTTCATAGTAATTCGTTTCCTATGCAAGAGATAGATGAATGCTACCAGAATGTCAATAGGCAATTATCAATAATCAATAGACAAACAACAATTATCCAGTCGACGAATAATCCGTTCCCATAAGATTTAATCGAGTTATATTTATCTTAAAAATCGAACTGAATCTCTCGAGTGACTCCGTACAAATCAGTTTCATCTTTGCCGCAATGTAACGTATAATTCTTGGCAGGAAACGGCAAAAATCGAATAAGCCTCTGGTGTTACAAGATGAGATGGCTCTGTCGCAGAACAATAAAAGTTATGTGCACGACAAAAAGGTCATAACAGAAAGTTTCAAAGAGGACTCCTCAACTCCATCTGATAGGCAATCCTTATCACGGGCAACCACTCCGGAAATAACGAACATCGTAGTCGAGAGTAACGATGAGGAAGAGGAAATTACATCATTGGTGAAGGTAAAGGATTTCGAGGATTACGTCCGGCAAGCGATAGTCTCGGGATTGTTGAACAAGCAATATGAGGTAAGTGTGCTCGACTTCGCTTCGAATTTCTTACAATCGACAGAATTGCTACTCACTTGTTCCGAGAAATTAACTCACGCTTGTTAAGTTTACGTTCAACGGCCACGTCTCCTACGTGCCTATAGCTTTGATTACGTGTTCCGCGTAAAAAAAAAAAAGAGAGAAAAGGATTTGGCCGCGTTATTTTGTGTATGTAGTTGTATTGACTGTAATTGATAATCATAACACGACAAATCAATCCTACGAATTTCTCGCCAAGACGTTTCCGAGGGGGCAAACGCAGCCGTGGGATTACGGGAAACAGCCACAAAACAAAACCAAGAATCGATACGGGAATCTCATAGCGTGTAAGTAAAAAGCATAATTTCGCGTTGCATGGTGGTGCGGTTGTTAATAATATCACGATTCGCAGATGACGAAACTCGCGTGATACTGAAAAAACTTCCGGATGACGCTTATTCTGACTACATCAATGCTAACTATATCACCGTAAGCCACAAAGTGATAAATATTAGCCACAGTGATAAATATTTCTACTTCGAAGCGTGCGTTAAAGTTATTTGCTTGCGCGTGTTAGACATTATGCATCCAAAGAATATAATTTTATTCTTAGTATCCTTTTATATATGATCTTAGGATTCCTTTAAGATCAGAAGGAAAATATTCTAATCTATCCTCAAAAAGGAATTTTTGTATTACTATTATTTCCTATATTCTAAGCAAAAAATTACATATTCTAATCTCATATTCTAAGCAAAAATTCTTACCGATAGAGTATTCCTCTCCTATTGAAGTAAACTATTAATCGTAAATCTTCTATATATTATTCTAATTTTTATCTTTCTGAATCAAAAGAAATATTTTCGCTTGAAGCCGAATGTCTTCTTGCTAGGAGATATTTCTATGAAGAACAAGATTTGTACTGCATATAAAAGACAAAATTCTTCTAATTTTAAAAATATTGTGCTAGGAATATTTCCCTTTTGGATTTTAAAAAATCCTTTTGAAGCTACGTATAAGAGAATATCCTCTAAGTATAAGATTATATCTTTTTGAGCACAATTGTGTAACATTCTTGGAATATAGTAAACCTAATGTCAGGAAAGTGTTAAAACAAATTACCATTTTTAATTTCAATGAACGTAAATTTCTTGTGAAAAGTACAATTAACGCGTGCAGGGTTACAAGAAAAAGAAGCGATACATTGCAACGCAAGGGCCTAAACCCAACACGGTTGTGGATTTCTGGCGCATGATCTGGCAGGAGAAAGTCCTCATTATCTGCATGCTCGCAAATGTAGTCGAAAACGGAAAGGTGGGTTATCACACGGAAATGAAAGCAATAAGATGTAAGCAGTAAAAAAGATGAAACACCATTGTCAATTATTCTTCTTATAACGTAAGAACAATTGACTGCAGTTGATGAATTTTCTTATCGCCGTGGTGTTTGGAGTTCGAACAAAACAAAAACTCAAGTATAGCAGTTTTCGCAAATTCGCGATACGTAAGAATCACGATCTCTCGAAGGCCAATCAAATATTAGGCCGGTCAAAAAATTTGGGTTATTTTTTAATACCTTCTTTGACGGCAAATAGGCTGTCTCTTACGATGAATATATGAATAAGACCAAAATAATGGCGAAGAGTCAATGAACAAAGACAGCGATCGATTGTTGAATAATTTGTTCCAATCATCTCGTACATAGAAATCAAATTTAATTCAAAAGTCGAGCCGAATTTTTCAACTGATCTAATAAAATGGTAAAATTGCAAAGCAAAGTCAAATTAATATCCATTTTTTCATCGAATCTTAAATCAATTTCGACTCTAACAATCTCTCCAGACAAAGTGTGAGCAGTACTGGCCGGACATTGGTAAGAAGAAGAAATACGGCGAGATCGTTGTCCTAAACGCGACGCACAACGTTTTCGCCGATTACTGCTTCCGAACTTTGCACATCACTTACGAAAATGAAACCCGAAAGGTATCCACTTTAGAATCTTACTTAATGTGATATCGCAATTGAAATAGCGAGATATTGCTTTCGCTATATCGTATAAATCAATGACAGGTGGAACACCTGCATTACACGGCTTGGCCAGACCATGGTGTACCGATGTATACACATTCTGTAGTGACGTATTTGAAGAAATTATTGGCAACACCGCCCGGAGACGGACCCGTCGTAGTCCATTGTAGTGCTGGAGTTGGCAGAACCGGGACTATCGTTTTATGTGATATTTGTCTTCATCGGGCAGCTGCCGAAGGGGTATCGACTTTACTATTACTTCTCTTCAGTTAAAGTACAATACTCTAAGACTAACATAATTATGGATAAATGTATAATAACAATGGGCGAATTAGGAATGTCAGCACCTGAATATTTGATAATCTGGAGATTTGAAATACTCGAGTATGAAAGTTCTTCGAGTATTGCTCGGGTACAGAAGTGTTTGTCTGTTTTTAAATAATTAAGAATTCAAGTACTCGCAGAGTTATCTAATTGATTGTATTTATGTAAAAATAATCCAACTTACATATGTTTTACGTCAATTGATTTGTTTTTAATTAAATTTGTTGAAATCAATTATTAATTAAACAGTCTCTAATTGAATTAACTCATATTAATCGTCAATTAAATAGGATAATTAGTAAAAAATTTAATTTACTATTCGCAATTTTGAAAATTACTTTGTATTGATAACGTTGTGAACAAGTTCTCATTTTTGAAAAAAACATTATTTACTTGATTTTTCCTCGCAGACAATTGTAATTTGTAATTTGTACTGACAAATTTAATGCTTATTCTTAAAAATTATTACGCCGCTCTGAAACGTTAAAAACGTCAGAAATCACTAATTCTTTTCAATGCAACTGTAAATTATGAACAATTTTCTTTACTTACAATATTTAGTACATGGTTTCATGAAAATTTTGTAACAATGATTCTAAAAAATATTTACAAATAGACGAGTTATAGAATGTTCAGTGTTTCTTCTTTGCTCAAACGCGCATTGATCGTGTATACGATATCTCGAATATCAATAGTTCAACTGATATCTAATTTGACGCATATATTCGTAACAAGATTATCTAGAGGGCATTGTAAATTTTTTTAAATATAATTATAAGCATTGTTTTATTATAAATGTTTAAAGTTAAATTTTTGGGACAAAAGTCAAGTTTTTGCATTCAATTTACTGTAATTTCCACAATTTTTCATTTTTGTCATAAACCCTATGTTGCTCTAGATAATTTGTCAAAAATATGTATGCTAAACTAGAAGTCAATCAGACGATTGATTTACGAGATATCGTGTATACCATCAGTGCGTATTTCATCAAAAAAGCTTCGCTGAAACACGCATACATAGGAAATTCTATAATTCAGCTACTTTTAATATTTTTAAAAATTATATGTTAAAATAATTTTTACAAAATTTTCGACAAATTATATACTGAACATTGTAAATAAAGAAAATTGTTCAGAATGTATAGCTGCGTTGAGAAAAATGAATGATTGACTTGACGTTTTTTCAGCGTCTTAGGGCGGCTCCTTAGGAACGAAACGACGTGCGATCTTAATTTGATAACAATGATTCGTTCAGATGGTCGATGTCTTCGCTGAGACGGCATCTATCAGACGTGAGCGAGCGAACATGGTGGACAATAAACAACAATACCTGTTAGCACACTTGGCGTTGGTAGAATGTTTGATTACCATTCCGACCACTTTGCCGTGTAACGAAACATTGCCGACGCGGATCAAAGAATTGAAGAAGCAACTGTCGGTTCAACAGCATCAGTGCGTTAAATTAAACAACAGACTCGAAGTTGAGTCTTCGTGCTCGTTCGTGTGTCGCGGTGACTAAACGTCCAATAATTTCAGATTACAGAACACCGCGTGGCAGGACGAAGCTCTACGGCCAATTACGTCTCTGTCGTCATTATCGGAATGTAATCGGGCGAAGAACAGGTTTCCTGAATTGATCTCAGGTTTGTTTGGATTCGTCAGAATTGTGTGAAAGTATTTTCGGGGAAAGTATTTTCGGGGAAAGTATTTTCGAATGTTTAAACGAACAAATGTAGATCTAGATAAAGAGAAGAGGCGAGAAAGAAGAAAATTCTTCGTATCTCAGACTGATCATCTATTAATAATATTTAGTATCATCACTATTTATGCATTTAAAAGAAATCTAACTGCCCAAGTGTAAAAGTAAATAAATGCTGCTTATTAGAAATATTAACGCGATAGAAATGTTGGAATAACGCATGATGGTGTATCCATTTCTCTGTGCACAGACAAAGTTAGTAGAATATATTTGAAGAGATATCCGAGCTCGGACGAAGACAGCGATTACCTCTCCGCCGTTTACGTGGATGGCGTAAAACTTCAGAATCAATACCTAGCCGCACAGCTTCCCATGCCATCGACAATCAACGACTTCTGGAGAATGATCACCGAATTTAAAGTAGAGCTCATTGTTATGTTACAACCGCCCGATCCTGAGGATTCGGTAAGAGCATTTCCTACAGTCTTATATTTTAATAAACGTCAAGTAACAGTAACATCACATTCTATTCAATTCTGACAACTTGAATCGTTGCAATTTTATTCAATAAAAAGCGTGCAAATCGATTTGCATTCAGTTATACTCATACATACACATATAATATATTTCATATTATACTAACATTGTTGAATGAGAAATTATGGCGTTGATGTAACGTTCGTTGGCATTTATTGAGACGTAACGATTCATTGCAACGAACGTATTGAACAAATAATTCATTGTCTAAATAATTTGTTCTCAATATCCATGGAAAAGAAATTATTTTTATTTCCACATTTCGAATTTTATACATATTTATAATTCTACAAATTGTGTGCAATTTAATGCATCAAAAAGAAAATAATAATTAATGAATTGCACACAATTTATTTAATTATAAATAATCTATGTATAAAATTTGAAATGTGGAAATAAAAATAATTTCTTTTCTTTTTACGTCAGCCATTTGATCGAACAAAATGTATGAACCAACTCATTGGTTCCAGTTAGCCTCTCAACTGTTGAATTATTGCAGATATAGGGTCTGTTCTCCTTAGCTAAACTGCTTGAACTAGTGCACATTAGTGCAATAAGTTAGAGTGAAACAATGTATATCTCGCTCTAACTTATTGCACCAGTTCAGACAGTTCAGCTAAAAAGAACAAATCTATAAATGCAATTTTCTGATCTTATATTTACAGACCTGCTGTGCGATCGCTCCAGCGAACGGCGAGTTTAAACCAACTCCGTATCTAAACATTATAGTGAAGGAAATAGTGGAATTAGAGAATTATACGTTGCAAAAATTGCTACTCGTTGATAATTCGGAGGTAGGAGAATTCGCCGGGCACGTTTTTGTTTGCCACCGTCTACTCACTTTATAATTTGCTATTTGCCGCAGAAACCTTCAAGAGAGCAGTCTGTGACCATATTATGCTGCACAGAATGGAAACCCGGAAGGAATCAACCGCCGCCGCCGGTCATGGCATTGGTGACATTCTGGCAAGCCACGGAAAGAATCGCGAGAGGCGACGGACCTACTGTCACGCTTTGCCAGTAAAATTTACAATATCATTCAAACGACGATAATGCAAAATTGTGTTTTGAAAATAAAAGACACGTTTCTTCCTTCCCCTTCACTTATATCTCACTTCACTTTATCTCTCAACAAGTAAAATTGTTCAGTGCTTTATGATAGATAAATCTTCCTAAATCTTCCTAAATAATTTATATGTTTCTCAAGTGATGTGCTTTGCAAAAAGTGGCCTTTTAAATAAATAATAAAAATCTTTCAGCGACGGAGTAACCGGATGCGGTCTCTACTTAGCGTTGAGTTTTATGCTGGAGCGAATGGCTGTCGAGAGGGAATGCGACATTTGTTTGTCGGTGCGAGCAGTTAGACGATCAAGAGCAGATTTTGTTGGATCTTTGGTAATGTATTGATTTCTCAGCAACGACATAAAGTGTAAATAAAAGTGCAATGCACGGAACATAGTAAAACTATTAAATATGATATATATATATATATATATATATATATATGTCATATATATATATATATATATATATATATATATATATATATATATAATGAAATATGAAATATAATATAAACTATGAAATATAATGTTGCATATTAAATTTATTCGAAATTATTCCATATGCTCGAGAGAGTGAGGAGTTTATTCTAATTTTCAGGAACATCTGGAATATCTGTACGACGCCGCAATAACGTATCTGGAGTATTTCGAAACTTATGCGAATTTCTCGTGAGATTAAAAGAATGTAGAATTAATGTAGAATGTAGAATTCTAATTATGTAGAATTAATGAAAAGGAAATGCCGAACCCGCAACACAGCCGCATGTAATTATCATATACGCGATATAAAGTATTGATTTAGCGAATATAGCAACATAAGTACCTCACTCTTGTATAATAAAAAATATATAAAGTTTCACCTTATGCAAGGAACAGAAAACTGTATCTTTTTTCTATTCCTCCTTTATCTCGTACGTGTGATCTAGGTAAACCACTTTCTTTTCTACGATTAGACTATCGTCGCGAAGCTCGCGACTTGATCTTACGATGCTTTGACTCGATAATACACGCACATACGATTAACTTGAAAGGTTACATGCTACAACGATGTAAGCTCGCAGTAAACTCGGAATAAGAATAAGAAACGAAGCTACTTCTCTTGATATACTATAAAATAATTCTGTCTCAAAAAGAAACTTCAATCTTGTATATTGTTTACCAAAAATTAACCTGATGTTTTGTGTAATATCTGAATTCTTTCTGACGATGACTTTTCTCTGTTAACTTTTCTCTTGTTAATTTTCTCAGGAAGAAATAAAAGGAAGGAAACGCTTTTGTTCCAACAATAAAAGCAACTTGCCTTATACCTTAATCAGTATAATATCACGAATGTTTCGCGAATTGCGATTACGTTAACACATTTCTTTGAAAAACGATTTCGTGTCTGTACTCACATGCTCGAAACGTTGCCTAGATATATTTTCAACCAGCTCACCTAATAGTAACGCAAATATCGCAGCGCTGTTATCGCGTTATCAGACTTATTTGCGCGAAGTTGAATGATCCACACGAAGTTTGCGTAACTGCTGCAAAAATTCACAGTAACGTATACTATACACTGCAGGATATATCATTGAGTACGACTTTTTAAATACATACTGGAGATGAATGTAAGTTCATGTATAATTATGTAAAAATATATATAAAATATAAAATATATAAAATAAATATATAATATATATAAAATATATAAATATAAAAATATAATTATATATAAATTTAATTATATATAAATTTAATTATATATGTAATATATAATTATATATAAATTTTGTCCATATGCGACCTTATATTTGACCATATCTAATTATATATCTAAAAAATATCTATATATGTCCATATATAAATACTGTTGAATGAAAAAAGAAAACAATTTATTTCAATTAAATGTGGATATCATGGGTTAACATAAGCATTTCTTCAGTTGTATCTTCAGAACAGCATACTTTTCAATGTGGACATAATTATATAATTATATGTGATCATATATGGCTACATATATGGACAAGTTCTATATATAAATTTCTTTTCTCGATTGTATACAATCTGCAATACTAAACAGCGGGATGAAATGATATTCATGAGAAATATAACAATTTATTTTTAAATATCTACACGCTAAGAAAAATACTTGGAAGTTTATTTGTGGGATATAAAATCTATTTCTGTGAAATAAAGTTTATTTTTCTGAAATAAAGTTTATTTCTGTAAAGAGAGAGAATAAACTCATCGCACAAAGAAAGTATTTTTTCTCAGTGTATCTATATACTTAAAAATGTATTTATAATGTTAACAGTGTGTGTTTATACATATACTTGTGATAATTTATTTGTGTGGGTTATAAAGTTTACTTCTATCAATAAACTTAATAAATAACTTAATAGAAAATATAACTTAATAAATTATAAATAAAATAAAGTTTATTCACAGAAATAAACTTCATATCTCACAAATAAATTTTCAAGTATTTTTTCCTTAGTGTAAGTTTACATTCCAAAACATTATTTTTGAGGAAAATTTTATGGAAAATCT